TATTCCACAAACAGATTAAAGTTGTCGGATTGGGAGTCCAGAAGTTTGGCTCTTGGGATCCCAGCGCCAGAGCCACCTGGGGGCGGCTGAGAAAAAGTAAATAAATCGAATATCAATGCCGGTATGGAGGGTGCTGTCGCGTTTTGAGAGGTTCCTCTTGTTCATCTCTTTTCAAGCAATGAGCTGAGAGGTACAGATCCTGGCCTGTTTGCTTCGAGTATGTGAACTCTTTTCGGTCAATGGTTCAGCTTGATATCTTATATCACACTTATCGACGATGGCTTATCGGTGGCACGACACAACCGAAGTGAACGCTTATTCGTGAGCCGCTTGGAGTGACCTGGCTCGATGATACAAGTACTCGTACTTGTACGAACACAAGGCCTGCCAACCAATTGGTTCCCACACGGGACTCGGTCACCCTATCGGACCCTTGGCACAAGCGCGCTAAATAAGAGTGACCGCAAGTGCAATATCTTGCGATGCGGCCCTATTCGAAGAGGACGGGGGATACCGGTGTCGTGCCATAATTGGAACCTTGCTGTAATTAGTAGCCCAGTTGGAAAGGCAAACTTTAAACGTGTGGGATGCACGCTCTTTCTTAGCTATGTAGGCGGTGCATCAAACAACTCGATACCGAGTTGTGCTTGTGCGGATATAAATCAAACGACGCTCTCTTTGTCCGTTTCCAAAATGGCGGAAGATGAGGAAGCAAGTCTACCGTTGTTCACCGTTCCAGCAGTGTTTGTGGCTGCATGTTAAATCCCGCACTTGCGAGTCAGTGGCTGGGAGTGGCGCTTTATACACTACACGCTACCGGTAAATGTATCATCATTGGGAGAACAAGCCATGCCCCTACCCATTAATTGGCCTCTGAAGCTAACAAGGCATCACATCATACATGACTCCTCTTCAGCGATAGCAGAAGCAGCAGGAGTAGCAGAAGAGCCCCCGCTCAGCTGGACTCTAGACTAAATTTTATTTTTTTACAGTGAGCAGCTGGAAGACGCCCTCCCCCGCTTCCCCTCCCCTCGTCACTCGAGCCGTTTTCTCGAGGATTGGGATATCCAATCACCAGATTTTCGAAGGAAAGGGAAAAAAGTTACCAATTCACCGCTTCACCAGTGCAGCCCTACTGTACCATGTAGGCGAGGTTGTCCAGACCCGAGTTCCAACCTGTGATTTGTGCGTGCCTTCACAGGCAGCGTAGAGTGCTGCCGTCGACAGTTTCGGGCATTGACTCTTGGATGGTCCAGCGGTCGTCATCTACCGTAATTTACCCTCCCCTCTTTCTCTCTCTCTCTGTCTCTCTCTCCATCCATACTGCTATGGAAGTGCAGTACATGTACAAGCGGGGTACCTCTAGCGCGAACATGCTGCAGGCAGCTTGGAACCCGCCTTGGGTCTCACTTCGAATCACGAACGCTAGTCCTGATGTGATGGTGGTGGTGATTGTGAACGATATCCAATCGGGAAAGGCTCTTGGCCGATCATCCAGCGAGAAGAGCCTTTGTCTCCCTCGTTTCAACCACTAATTTAAATTACGGTGCTCTCTCTCCCCATTCCTAAGATACATGTATATAAGGCGCAGGGACCCATTGACCGGAATGGACAGGGATATATTTAGCTGGTCACAAGTACTGTGCTGTACCCTCAAATAACCAACTAGAACTAACCATTCCATAACTTCCTATGGTGGCACTGTAAACCCCGAATGCCTCTCTCCCCCACTCGAGCACAGCCCTGCCAGAGGACTCGAAACGAAGAAAATCACTGTGAACACATTCCGATAGCAAATCAGGAAAACTCTGGAGGGGGAATTTCGAGAATTCTATTTGTAGGCGCACGCTGTCTCAAGTCGAGATATCCGTCAATGTCTGGGTGTGCCATGGGTGGTACAGGTACGAGTATGATACTTCGAGTACTCGAGTACCGGTACAGTACTACTTGTACGATACTGGTACAAAAGGTCTCTAAGATGCCGGCACCATACCGCATCCATACAATACTCCACCCAAGCCTTCCTTCCCCAGGGAAAACCGGGGTCGAGAGCTCGAACGGATTGGCACATGCGCATCAACCTCCCATCCCTCCCATCCTCCCTCGCCTCTCGTGGCGGACATGCCGAGCAAAGTTTCAGGACCCTACCCACACATAATTTCCTCTCGGTTGATGTCCGACTTTTTTTTCTTTTTTTTTTCTTTTTCTTTTCTCTTTCTTTGACATCGTATGTTGTTGGGATTGCGCTGGAGAGGTATACCGATATGTAATGTACCGACCGGTAGACTATGTCAAGGTTACTGTACAGTACGAGCTCTTGAGTACCGTGACCGCGCTACTCGATCCTGCATTATCATATCATATCATGCCCTGCAGTGAACACAACGGTTCGGTAAGTAGGTATCATAGGTACTGTAGGTAGGTATAAGTAGGTAGGGTATCGGTACTCGAGTATACAGTATGATGCCGTGCATTGCCGTAATACCTTTTTTTTTTTTTTTTTGCTTCCGGAGAGAGCCGATGGATGGATGTTATTGGCCGATCAGTCACCTCTTCGCACCCCTTCGACTCCAACGGCGGGTGCACTATTTCCAGAAACCTACATTTTTGTCTGAGAAAGAATTTCTTTCCTCTTAACTCATGTACTCGAGTACCGTACGGTATTGTGGGTGTTTGAGGGGGACGGCTGGAACTGCGTGATATATCATGATATCGTAGGGTACATTCTGGCATGGTATTGTGGTAGACTGCCATGTGCGGCAGCTCGATGTAGGGTATATTGGAGTACCGGTACAGTGAATGAGGTACTGTACTTTATATCGCTTTTACCTATGCGGGCGAGAAAGCCCCAGCGAAGCATTCCAAGCGTGTCTGTTGGATTTTGGCTTCGCCTGGCCCGGCCGACTAAAGGCAATTTTTTTTTTTTTTTGCGGTATCATAGCTTTTCACCGGTGAACGTATGGTGGTGGTGACCGTGAAAGAAACACAGGACTTTAGGGGTTCTGTTGGAGACTAAAGGTAGGACGGGAGAGGCATGCCATCCGGCCAATGGCTAAGCAACAATACATTATATTCGCACGAGCATCGTAATAATATGTATGGTATCGCATTGCATGGAAGCAGCCCATCTTCTGCACCTTCAGTACCGGTAGCGCCGAAGCACTTGAAGCACTTTTACAGATTCGTATCCCCGATTTCCTTGATGTCTATTTATTCGGTTATTTATTGTTGCTGCTGCTGTTGAGGGGCGTGATGAACTGGATGATGGAGGGAGGAGGTTCTATCTTGAAGGGTGGCTCCCCATTCGATGGCCCCGACGGGGCACATATGTGCCTTGGCTGAATACGGACAGGGCAAGCCTGGTGAATCCCAACCTGGGAAGCGCATCTTTCTTTTTCTTTTTTCTTTTGTCCTCGGGACCGCACCGATGATCGGGGCGGCGTGAAGGTGGGAAAATTAGCAGTCAAAAGCACATCGGCATCCACAGCTCACCGGAAAACCATGCTGTAGTCTACCCCTCGGCCTCGTGGGCTATTCCTCAGTGTTTGCTATCCTACGTATCGTACTGCATCTCATCTTCCAACACGGGGAGGCCATCAGGCATACGAGTATTGGGACCCGGTGAGAGAGGTGAGAGAAATAAGCTCACTGTAGCGTGTCAGAACTCTGAATCCCTTGGCGCATGTTGTAATAGTAAGTCACCGCTTGTCGTAACTTTGGATGCCGTGCCGTATCGGACGTGAGGTACCGGCACTGTTACGACAAATCTGCGAGTAAATATCGTAGTCACTCTTCACGCGCAAGAGAATTGAGGCCTTCAATACCGGTAAATGCCCTTGACCGCTCAGTTCGGTAGCACGGAGGGAGAGAGAAAAAGAAAAAAAGAAAAAAAACTAGATAATACTCGACATCCTTGCCAAGGCCACTTTAATAGAGGCAAAGGCCCCCATCAACTTTCCTCCCTTTGTTTGTCACAATTTGGGAGACAATCTCTAACGGTCCAATCAGAGTCGGCTTAGCGCATGTGTCCGTCCTTTTCATCCTGTGCCCTTACCCTTACCTAAGATATGGTGCCGGTACTTGGTCTTTGACATGATCCCACACGAGGATAATAGCTGTCATGACATTGGCAACCATAATTTGGGATTAACCCCCGCGAGTGCCGTTGCTTTGCACCATTGCCATGACGGATTATCGTGCCACAGACCCGTCGCGGGTGGTAGGCAAGTACCGGTGTGATGGCTGGTTTGGTTGAAATTTAACCTTTGATACCCTCAGGCACCTGTAACTCCTTGTCGGGCAAGATAGCCGGCTGTAAATGGAAAGGGGATATCAGTGATGTGGTTCTCGCTGCCCAGGAGGAAATGAATGGTCCGGTGTACTCGAGTACTAGCACTTGTGGGTTTAGTGGGGTACAAGGAACGCCATGGTGAGCTTGGCTTCAGCGGGACCTACGAGAACAAGGCTGGGGAGGACAGTGCTTCGAGCGATTGGAAAAAGCAGTGCCCTCCCCATCCCCGCCTCTGCTTCTCGCTCTCCCTCTCCACGGGCGCTCGACTTCTCTGCGTGTCTTACCGCTCTGCTGCTGCTCTCTCCCTTCCTTCACACTCCACTGCAGCCCCTCCCCCCCCTCCACCATACCCTCCCATACTTGTTGAACGCCCTTCCCTACACCCTCTTCCCCCCCCCCCCTCGCCCACTCCCTGCTCTCGGATCCGGATCTTAGCATCAGGCATCCTTGTAATAGCCACCGCCCAGATAATTGGCCATTTGGGGGATCAGAACTAACTTGGGCTCTTTCCTCCTCCACCCTACATAAGACACTCTTGCCGCCTCCTCGAAGGGAGGAGAATAGGAAGAAGGGGAAGAAGGAGAAAAGAAAGGAAAGCTTCGGCGCTCAGTGTTTGAGAGTTTATTCATTTTTTTTTCTTTTTGGCTACGATAGCAGTACGGAGGTCTGCGATACCGGTATCCACACCTCGCCTCGATATCGCTCGTGTGGACACCCACTTTGCAAAGAAGCACTCTTGTTCTTAAAGCGACCTTCCTCCCGCCCCCCCCCCCCCCAATCTCTCACTTTCAGCGATTCGTTCCATCGACAGGACACCTTTCTGCCTGACCACAGTACCCTCACAAATAATAATCTTCAAACATGGCAATTCCAGAACCGGTCAAACCCGCAGACTCTCAGTCGATGAAGATCCCTCAGCCCCCAGCTGGTCGAACACCTCCTTCACCGGCTCCCACAAACATGTCTTTCAACCAAGGTGACGACCACGATGTCACTCGCAGATCCGAATCTACACGATCCCCAACCGCCATTCATTTCATCACTAGAGACATCGATAGGGATACACCCGCTACGAGGGGATTGTCCAAGAAGTCTTCCAAGGGAGACTTTGCCAGGAAGAAGTCCGCCAAGGGAGCAAGTTACTACGGGGAAGTATTCGCCGTTCGGGAGTCGGGCCCGGTGATTCCCAAGAGTTCTGCGGTTTGGGTTGAATTGCGGACAAACGTCATTGTAAGCCCCATCTCGTTTAGCTTTGTCCGATTCCTCCCCAAAAATACCTCCACCACCGTATTTTGAGTTTATTTTTACTCGTGGTTGAGCGGCGTTTGTGGGGACGGCTGCTATTGCGTACCGCCAAAATTCAACTTTTTTGTGTTGTGCAACAGCGGCCGTGTCCGATTGCGAGTATTGCTTGATCTCTGGGCGCCTGGCACATGTCACAGCACTCTATGCTTTTTCTTGGTTTCTTCTCTGTTTGCTTGTACCTCCTCTTTTCTCGGCCGCCGGTATTTCAATCTTGTACTTTGCTTGTGCTAATATGCATGGTGCGATGTCTGCAGCTGGAAAACGAGTTCGAGTTCGCAAAGTCCTTGTCCGAGTTGGTCGCCAAACGCTACGGAAAGAGTGAGGATGCGGTCTGCGTATCCATTGACCATTCAGCCTGTATGGTTATGGGGGGCACATATGATGGGTCCTTTCTCTTGACCATCACTTCCCTAAACATGATTTCTCCGACATGCAACAAGCGAAATGCAGCCTTGATCTGTGAATGGATCAGCAAGAATCTCGGTGTCGAAGTCGCCAGAGGCTATATCCGTTTCGTCGACCCGGATTTTGCCAACTACGCAATGGGTGGATACACCATGTTGGATTTGATGGAGAAGGAAGAGCTTTCTAGGACCGGCACCGCGGACAAAGCGGGCGTTATCAGGGATAGGAGCGTTAAGAGATCGATGTCACGTCACCGGTCCGCCAAGAAAGGGAGGCAGAGCCACGAGAAGCAAGCTTCGCCTTTTGTAGGCACAGGTGGAGACCTTGATGTGGTGGAAGACGATTCCCCTTCTGAGCTGCCTTCGACTCTAGCAGGATCCTCGAATGACGGACCTTCGGCGACCGCTCCAGCTCAGCGGATGAAGAAGAGAAGCATGTTCGATCTCTTTAGCAGGAGCAAGGCCTCACGGTAAATAGGAGGCGCCATTTGAATCGCAGTCGTGGCCGTGATTACCAGGGTGTTCTACAATTTCTATTACTGGGGCCTTGTTTTTTTTTTTTCTTTTTTCTTTCTTGTCTGGATCTTTACACAAGCGGAGTTTGTGTGTTTGGGTAACCTTTCCATGGTTTTTTCTTCACTCTGTCACCCTTCCTCTCTCGGAACCACGCCTTCCGGGGCAGAGTAGGCGATGACAGGTTCCGGTTCGATTTTTTTTCTTTTGTTACGGCTGGGAGCTTTCACTCTTTTCTTTCTTTCTTTTGTGCCAACTTTGCGAGCAGGGTCCTACAACTACAGGGTTACCATACAATTATTTTACAGTGTTTTAGATGTACTGTAACTAGCGGGGTACATATCTCTTTTGTCAAGGTCAGGCGGAGGTGGTTAGCATTTGGAATGTGGCCTTTTTCTTGCTCAACTGCGAGTCCGCATTGGAAGCGATTGCATGCGGAACAGATGATTGAGCTGAGGCGGAGGGGTCTCTCTCTGTTTTTTCTTTTTTCACTTCTACCGGTACATTATTCTTGCACACGGTTATGGGATGTGTGTTTCGTTTTTATGGGGTCTCTTTTGTATTGGTTTCTGTATCATAAACGGAAATTATTCAGTCTTTCGTAATAGTGAGAGGCGGGATAGTTTACTTGGCTGTCTACCATTGGAAAATTTTTTAAGATTTAAATTGGCTTAAAAGCTCTTACTCGAGTACATGATCCACTCTCTTTGCTGGGCCCCTAATATTCTTCGCGCTGAGCTTGCTGGCAGCTGGTTCTCATTTAACTGGTGTACGTAATTTCGTTAACTTGCCATGCTAGTCCTATTTTAGTTTAGCTCTATTGATTAGTAATGGTGGCTTGGAATGGCCCGGATAAATAAGGTATGATCTTCGGTAGCATAATTTAGCACTGTACCGCAAAGATCGTGTCAGCGTATGGCGATATCGGGCTCCCTGTTGAGATATTGTGAACCATGTCGCAGTAACTCATCGGCGAGCCAGACTGTGGGTTTCGACGGGATGCTTTAAGTTAGCCTGCCGTCGGGGACGACTTCTCTCCCCCTTCTCCTTTCTCCTTTCCGACTGTCATAACACACCGTACTAATACGCCCCTATCCTTTCCTTTCCCTTCCTCTCCTTTTCCCACCGGACGAGCAGCGCCAGCCGATCAGCATTACCGCGCCATCCTCCTCCACCACTCATTGTTGCCTATCTCCCCTCTCATATCGGTGAAACCTAGTTTCACGGCTTCCGCCACCCGGCGTCGATCTGCCGTCCGCCGTTTCTCTCCTTCGACTACCCGCACGACCCTCGACAATAACGACAGCGGCAACAGCCAAGTATTACCGAAAATGCCGGCGGAAGAACAACCACTTTCCACCCAACTCGTCCAACGCCTCTTGACGGAGAACTTTGAGGAAAAAAAGACCAGAATATCCCAGCCGGCGTTGAACGTGGTAAGGGAGTATACCAAGATATTCGTACGCGAGGCGATCTGGCGCGCCGCTGCTATTAGGAAGGAGGAAGGTAATGAGGGCGGGTTGAAGAATATGAGCGCTTTTCTGGAGGTACCAATGAGAAGTTTTTTCTTTTCTTTTCTTTCCCCCACCGTCCTCCAAAGTCAGGGTAATGGCTAATACAATGGGGGAAATTACCAGGTGGAGGATTTGGAGAAATTGGCGCCGCAATTGCTGTTGGATTTCTAGAGGCACATGTCAGAGACGGAATTTTCCTGAAGGGTTAAGGGCACGGGGAGGGTAGCGTGGGGTGTATGAGCTTCTAGGGTATGGGTGGTATGGGGATTGCAGCGTTTTGTTTCCTGTAGATAGGGATTGCCGACACCGGTCCCGCATCTGGCTGGCTTTTGGGTCGGGTATTGCAGCAACGCTGTGCTCGAGTACAAGCAGCAGCGGGCTGTATATTAAGTACCTGGTCCTTGCAATGAATCCCTACTCGACGCACAGTACTCGCACAGTACCGGGATTCGATATTGAAATTTCCGCCCTATTTCGTGCATCAGCGGTCAGGCATGTTCTGGAAGGTTTGGGATATATTGTTCCTAAACGGAACGTGGGCGTTTGGTCTGGCTGATCACCGAGGTCTGGGGGGCGGGGCTCTAGGGAGGGTTTGGAATATATTATTCCTAAAAAGAACGTGATCTAGCTGATCCTCGGGAATCCGGTGCGGGAGACTCTCGATATAAGATAAGTCCTCACATAAGTATATGGGGGCAAGAGCTCGATACGAGGGATCGAGACATCGCCCCCGAATCACTACACCGACCAAAATCCTTTTCGATTAGAGTATGTTACCGCTACCACGTAAGAAAGGAAGTTCCTCCTTCCAAGCCCTTTCTTGTCCCCCACAATAGAGACTTTGCGATTTCGCATCCAGAGTCAAATTCTAGCGATCTCATTGGCCCAGAACCCTGTTTGACCCACATCCAGAGTCTTTTCGCAAAGTCCCTAATGTTGAAAGTGCTGAATTCTCCCTCATCACGTTGAAATTTAAACCAGTGCAATTAGTTTTGGACCATTCTGGGAAGGGTAATCGAGTGATATCAAATGCATTCGTGTTGGATAAATAGACTATGGTAAGTTGCGAGCTCTTTTCCTTTAACCCGGAAGCGCAGCGAACCCATCGTAGAGACTTCCCCTCGCCTTATATACAATTTTGAACAATTGGTGGCATTATGGAACCGGCTTGCCGCTCGCGACTGACTGTATTATTCCGTTGCCCTTGAAGATTTGTATGCTTATCCTGAGATGGTCATCCACCGTGGGGTATCATACAAATAATCCATGCGCCGATGTGTGCTAACCACACTTAGAGTTGCATATTAGCATTATTCGTCTGCGAGTCTGATTCCGCCAATAGAGAGAGCGGAATGCATTAGTCTGATTGGTTCATCTTTAGCGCCATGTAGGGAAATTCGGCACTATCAACGCTGCGGAGGATATCAGGAGTCCGGGGTCCGGTATCGCATCATCACGATACTTGTGCCCTTGCTCCAGCCGTACTGAGATCTCGCGATACTGAACCCTCGTACACGCCGAGATCGCCAAAACTGCTCCAACGCTTAGTCGCCGTGTGTAGCGATTCCAATCCCTTCAGGGCTTTGCATGGGGAGCGCATCGGCGTTGGCCATCCCAAGGCTCTCATGTCTTTGTCTTCTCCCCTCCCTCCCTCGTTCCTGTCTTGTCTCCATCCCACATCCTCCTTCACGATAACCAACAACGACAATTTCTCCACGCAGCGATCAAAGTGAGAGAAACAATTATCGAAATGGCGCCCAATAAAAAGGATAAAGGCAAACAGAAAGCAGATGATAGTGGAAAGGTTGACGGCGAGTCGTCTTGGTTTGTAAGTTTTCTCCCGATATCGTTTTTTGTTCTTGTTTCTTCGATCGTCCCTGTATTATGCGGAGTTGGCGAACGGACCTTGTTCCGACGGTCGTTGGCCCTTGCGCTTGTACTCGGCGCATTTATATTTAAGGTTAAGTTGTGACGGTTGGGGGAGGGAGGGGAGAGAGGGAGAGAGAGAGCAAACGTGGTTTACACCAGAAAGATTGGCTAGGGCCAGATTTTTCTTTCTCTCCATGTGTCTCACTGTCTTACTGTCTTGGGAAAAATTTTCTCGGCGTTTTGTTTCAAAATATTAGAGCTTGACTAATGACATTTAATGTTTAGGGGCCGAGCTCTGAGTTTAGAGAGGAGACCTTGATACCTCTTGCGGAGGCTCAGGGCACAGACACCGTCGAGAACTCAGCCAGACCTCCCATTTCTGGAAAGTATCGGCTCAGATGTGGTAGTGGCAGAGGGGAATCCCTTGCCTCCTCCTCCTCATCTAGTGCACGTGTTATTGATAAGCAAAAGGGTGTTCAGCAAGATCTTCGCGCCCTCGATTCGGAGTTCGGGGGGGGCCCCGGGCATAGGAGGATCCGCTCCGAGATTTCGGGCTCTTACCAAACCGGGCGTATGCAAGATTTGGGTCAAAGATACTCTGCTACCTTCAATCAAGACGAAGGGGATGGTGCCGATTCGAATGGAGCTTCAGTTAGGAGAGGCAAGGGCGCTTTCTATTTCGGGGATATCCCACTACCATCCACCCATAGAATCTATAAATCGGGTCTCGGTTGGATCCCCGAGGGTGAAGAAACTAGTTTTCCCTTGGGGCAAGCTGGGTCTGGGTCCTTGGGTTCCGGCGCTGGAAGGAGTGGAGATTCTAATATTGTTCGCTCTAAGGTACAGTGCTCAATCAGTGGATCACCTCTACTTGGCTCATATTTGCTTTGTTCTTTTTCTCCCTCATTTCACCTATTCTTGGTCCTTCTACAGCAAACATTATATTATTAGCTTAGAACTGACCACAATTCACATTTACAGAGCTTCAATGGTCACCCATCTAGATCTTTCGAGTCGGATGGAAACGTCAAATTTTCCTCTTCCAGTGGAGGTTGGAGGCGTGATCAGGGTAAAGCTCTTACCTCTAGTGGCGATACTAATTATAGGGACATGCCTTCCAAATCAGGATCCAGCTCGTATCTATCTCGCCCTCCTGCGACTTCAAAGCAGGGGAATCAGCCTCATATGTCCAATGCATTGGAAAATCTATACTCTAAACCAGACTATCCCGGCGAACAAGCGGCAGGGGATTACGTTTCCGATGCCACTGGCTACGATGTCTCATCCGATGGACCGCTTTTGACTCTTCTATGCGATAGAGTTATCAAGGAGTCTCAGAGGTGCAACGAACTTAGCTCCGAGCTCGAGAGTGCCGGGAGAAGGCTCGCGAGAGCTGAGTACGAAAATCATGTACGCGAGAGAGCCATTGGGGAACTTTCCCTGGAGCTCAGATTGATGGGACCGAGGCTGGACTTGAATGAGGCTCAAAGGATCGTCCATAGAGATGTTGCCTCTATTCTGGCTTCGGGTGGTACTCCTCCACTCGATATTACGCTTGGTGGATGGACCTATATCCGTGTTGGCGAACCTGGAGAGGGTTGGGTAGGAGATAGTTATACTCCTGTTCAACCTTTCCCCCCTGGACGTCGCCCTTATCCAGGTGACCGTCAGCCGTCCCCGACCCTCCCGGCGCCTTCTAAGCTTGCATCCCGGGAAGGAGATGGTAGATCCGCACGTCTTCAGCCGTCTCCCGAGCGTCCCTCCGGTATGGGCAACTTTCGTTTGTCACCCCCGAACCTTTCTCCCCACAAGCGTCATACTTGGTCAGGGAATAGGCGCTCGTCTCCTGGGAAATCCTCCCCTCGAAAGCGTCTTCCCCGTGAAGGGTTTTTCGTTTCCCCGGTCCGCCCGGTCCACCGCCATGACGACGCATCGGCCTCTCCCGGAATCAGCTACCTCAACTGGCGTGCCGATGAAGAGGAAAAGCAAAGACGCGCCAAATCTTAAAGCACGGACCAACCGACCCGATGCTCGACTACTCTCCTGTAGTCTGACCTAGTGGTAACGCCTTTAACTTTGTTTCGTTGTCTAACTTTGCTGTCATTGTCCAAGTCTTGTTCTGTATGCGTCAAATGTGTCTCATCCGGCCTACCATACACTGTACTCTGTTTTCTTTAGTTGTGTGTGTGTAACTGGTCAGGCGTTAACAATACAATACAATGACAATTCTTTATATAACCCGACTTGTCCAACACACGTGTTGCGTATGAAATCTATGACACTTGTACCCCCCCTCGAATAACTCGCCGCAAGGGAGACATCTATTCTCTATAAGAGACATGATGCAGTACAGTAGTGCCAAAGTTCTCATAACAGGGACTCAGCTCAGCTCAGCTGAATCCAGACCACACATCATTGGTCCAAGATGGTTGAGTCGTAGATGCTCGCATCCGATTCGCCAGATGGCCAGCCAATTACCCAAATTCCCGGACACCTTCCTTCCATAATGTACCCCCTCACTAAATACCGGGATCATTCAATAGTAAGAGTGATGTAAAACCCCCACGAATAAAGCACCAGATCACCACCACCACACACCAATAATTATAAACACAGCCGGAAAAAGAAAAACAAAAATAATCGTGCAATCGAGCGAGTGATGAGTGATCAGACTCTCTCTACTGTGCTGTAGCCGAAGTTGTCGGAAGCGTGACGGATAGATTATTTAGTAGACTTGTTCGGGCCGGTGAGTACAGTACAGTACAGTACAGTACAGTACATACGTAGGTAAGAAAGGAAGAAAGGGAAGAAAGGAAAGAAGGAAAGATGCAGTCAACTATTTATAAACGAACGGGATACTCATCCCCTTTCGCTAGTCTACTCGCCCATCCATCGCCGCTACCGGAAGCGGAAAGTGGGAGGGAACAAAGGATTTGTTGGTTTGGGGAATCGGGCGGCGGGGAGTGGGCAACTTATTATATGGGTACTTGTACTATTACTACTTGGCTAGTCCGGAACGGGATAAAAGAAGGACGGAACCGACGGGTTCTCTAGTGTGTGCGTGGGGGGGGGGGGGGGGGTAATAAAGGGCTTTGTTGTAATGTATTTATGTCGGGTGTACACATCGAGTGATGATTCATGAGTATACCGAGAGAGACGGAGAGAGGTTCGGAAAAGGTCTTGTCTTGTATTGTCTTGTATTGCATTGCCTCATTGGGTTTCTTGCTATTTTGGGGGGTTATTGGGTTTATTTGTGGGGGGCCTGGGCTGTGCTTTGCACTTTGATGTATGGGAGTGGAGTGCAATACAGTACTTGCACCTTGTCATACTGATCAGTGATACGGTTTTTTTATTTTTTACTCGGATACCTAAAGTGGGGGAGGGGTTGCATTTTTATTTTATTTTTTGGGCGTGTGTGTGAGGTGGGAGTTGCTAGCCCAAGGTCTTATTACGTGGGATGAAGGGGCTCACAGAGGGTTGAACTTTGGTTCATTCGTTTAGTTCGTTGCATTTATTCCTTTCTTCTTTCCTTGTGCTGGTGGAGGCACAGTTAAGTTACCCGTACTGTACAATACTTGTGTGTGGGTGTATAATACTGTACCCGCTCCGAATACTACCGGTAGTACAACTTTGTTACATTCGCACCTCGGCGTAACGAACGCCAAGAGTTCCGGGCCCTTCGTTCGTTGTGGAGAGGTTTGCTTCCGGATGAGATCCCTTACATTGGGATCGATTCGTAATAGCGAGGTTTCCAATCTAGATATATACAGTGCGGTACAATATAAGTTAGAGTGGTGTGACTGTATTACTGCGATACTTCCCGGGGCCGAAATAGAAACCGAACGGCGAACTTATCCGTCACGTGCACACCCGCTAACTTAGGCACCTACCGGTACATTGTTACGTACTCGGGCAGAGGATGAAAAGGTCGGAATAAATGGCCAGAAAGGTCATGTGGGGGGGGTCGTGGGCAGGACGGTTGGTAGAAATGATAATCTGGTGGTTTGTGAATAAACGAACCGGAGTGGATGGATACAGAATATATTTTCTCACCACTGTGGTAACGGCCCATCCCAGTATGATAGTTAAGTTAGCTGGTGGATAGAAAGATGGTCCTAAATATTGTACGAGCCCTCTTATGGATTACCCTAGGCACCCCCAGGAGCCCTTCAGAATCAGTATAAAAAAAATCGAGTTTTCAAGAAACATGGTCCCTGCTCTTCCGCCATAATAAGGGATTTCGGGTATCTTTCGTCCCTCTCCGAGTCCTGTACATAGGTACATAGATACATAGATACATCCATACATATCTAGTGAACTTTCCGCCATCCGCGACCCGCCATATCCAACTAAACTATGGCACTCGCCGCGGTCCGCATGATCGCCGGACCCCCGCTATTCATTTACCGCTGGTAGGGTAGGGTGCTGTACGTGGAGTACCAGTACTGTACAGTACTACACACCAGCTCCAGCTCACCAAACATCAACGCGCAACCTCGCACTCGGACGTGAGCGCGGTATGATGGAACTCCTCGAGTGACGGAACATGAACCCACCGTCCCGATCGCGATGGGGCAGTGACCAGTGGCGGATCCCTCCGGTATGAATGCCGGATTTAGTTCGTCGGGTCTGTGGGTGGGAGTGGGCTGGACCAACGATATTTCCGGGAACTTGATTTTCCCGTAGCCGTACCGGCGCACGGGTGATAAAGGGATTGGGGGGTTTTTTATTTATTTATTAAATTCTGTTTATTTTCTCGGGGTATCCTGGGCTAGCTTAATTTACCTTTTTTTTTTTTTTTTTTAGCGGTCGTGGGTGGAGTATCGTATGGCGCCGGGATTGTAACGATGAGCTTGTAGACTTTGGAATTGTTTTTCCTCTCTTGTTTTTTTTCTTCTTTTTCTTCCCCCCCCCCCTCCTCTTCTTTAATGATTGGGGGAGGAAGTATTGACTTGTTCTTATTGATGGATTCGGAATTTTCCACTCGGGTTTTTGTTCTGGGTGTGATGTTGAATGGTGGTGACTGTTCGGACTGGTTCCCGATATGTTGTGAGTGCTATGACGGCGCTACGATGTGGTTCGCTGGACCCGGGATCTTGGGGTCCCGGCCGGCGTTTAGCTGGGGGTTTTGTGGATCGCGTGTGTCTGCACTGTAGAGGATCTTGGGGAGATATTGGCTGTGAAGTGTAGCTATGTTTGGATGGTTTTTCGAGGGGGGGGATTTAATGTATGATGCTATCGGTGTTATTGTATATTGCCAACCAAGTAGTACCATGGATATATGATGCTATAGAAGCTGGGGCAACGCAGCCTCACGCTAGGATCTTGGTGGTATGATACAACTCCTAGAAAAGTCAGGGATACTTTCCCTTTTCGGGCGGCTGAAAGGGTTTGTTTCTTCCCTTAGGGCCTTCTCTCCATCCCAGTCCAGGTGTGGACACAGGAGGTCTTTTGCTTTTACGGTTGCGTTGAGTGCGTACTGTAGCCGGTGTCGTGCGATGGCTACTTTGGGAATAACCGTGCATGAGCACGATCCGGAACTCCAGCTCAGTTTTATTCTGTCTGAGATAGTACAGTACCTTTTCCAAGTGTGATGGGGTTTGATGCCAGAGACTTTTCGTCGCAAGGGAAAGTCTCAAGACGGGCAGAACACATCGCGGGCAAGATCTATGATGACCAATTGCGGTGTGCCACACTCCTGCATTCCGGGGCCCGTCATTGACATCATACCAGCTCCGATAACATTATAACAAAGTAGGTGTACAGGGAAGGTTTGGAATGGATGGGATAGTCTTTGGATGCTGAGTTAAAAGACAATATCTACTAGGAAGGCCGCGGAACAACGTAAATTGGGGAAGGAAATGTGTGGAAGGTCACGCTTCATGAGAGAAAGATGGTATCATACTTGGTTTATATATTATAATATTATCTGATTATTAAACTCAATGTCAACTGTAAAACCTCCATGTTGATGCTATTCTACAGCCTTAATACCTAGTAGATTATTAACTTGAAGCTCTGGTATGCCGAGTATTGAACTTTAATATTAATTCAAGGTGTATTGGATAAAGAGTGAAAGTAGGTTAACCAATAATTCTTATGTACTTAATTCTATATCTGGTTCATTATAATAATATTATATAGTAGGTTGGTGTCCAAAGCAGATTCTTAGTTTCCTAGCAGTAAATTTCTCAATATTCCGCTAGTATTCAAGTTTCCCCTATTTTATAAACTTGTGGAATTGTGCATGACATAAATTTTTATATAAAGTTTTTAGCTGGCTTCTAGTGTTAGAGTGACTGTATTTTACAAGGTCTAGAAATTTCTAACTAGTACGTACCTTCTAACACAACCCTAAAATCTACTCGCCTTTTTTCATAGGGTACTTTTGAAATTTATTTCTCAATAATAAGTATCTTTCCTATAGTTTAAGGTAAACTTAAATGTTTAATTATTAGAGTTTAAATTATTTTGCTTGTAAAGTTATAGAGAGAAAAGAGTAATAGATAGTTCAAGTTGCATGAAGAGTAACCCTATTTGGGAAACCCTCCTTCTTAAATATCTATAACTCAATCATGGGTTAAAGCATGAAATATCCAAGCTTTTTATATAATAGTAACAGCTTATGAGTACCAGTCATATGCAAAACACTATTACCTCTAATTGAATCCTGGTATAGGGTCTAACTCTTGCTAATTAGTCACTATTTAGCGCTTCCTCTAGTCAGTTCATACCTCTAGAGCACAAATGTACCAAATATTTGTTTGTCTAAATGGATTTGTAAAGAATCAGAGGATGTATCGATACAGCTATGATATATTTAATTTAATTATTAGCCTCAGCAGTGCTGGTATCCGAAAATGGGTACTGAATATGGGTTTGTGTGGTCTATCTAGTCCAGATACTCCGACTTGTCAATTAATACTTACCTATTCGACCTACAACTCTTGAAGATCTAATCTGATAGTATTAAAACTAAGCGGGTACGATTACTATGATAGCACCTTTAGCCCCAGACTGACTCGACACAAACCCACCAAAAGTATTCATCTCCAAATTCGGTAAGTACGTATAGCATTGTTCCCACTCCAACGCCTCATACCCCCCTTCCTTTAAAGGAAATAGATCAGATCACAACATAACAAGTAACCCACCCATACATCTCGAGAGAAGCATCCCCGCAATAAGGGAAAAGTGTAACAATTCCATTGCCATCGATGTCATGGGCGGCACCTG